CTATATTCCTGGCCCTGATCTACATTTCTAAGAGAGGTGTTATGAGTGTCCTTGCTCACCCAGATATAAAATGACTTGAAAGAGTCCTGTCCCTACCCCCAGAGTGTGCTGAGACAGTGATTGAGACTGGATGTGGTGTCGCGTGCCTGTAATCCCAGTGCTTGGTCAGCTGAAAACAGGAGGATCATTACTTGTCTGATCTTTGTAATGAGACCCTGTAGACCCTTTACTAAATACACAAAAAAAATTAAAAAATGAATGACTGGAAAGAGCTTAGCAAGTTGACATTTAAGCCAAAACAAGGATATTTTAGATTGGTTGTGTTATCTATCCATAATATAGATTTCTTTTTATTCACAAGCATGAGTAGATACCCAATAGGTTCATTCTTTCATTTATTCTTACTTTTTTTAGAATATTTTGCTTATTTGGTATAGGATCTTCCTACACATCTCAGACTAGTAGTGATCCCCTACTTCATCCTCCCCAGCACTGGGAATACAGGCGTGCACTACCACATCCAGTTTCGGTGGCCCCTTGGCACGGGGCTGGCACAGCATGTGCTACTGGGCAATGAATTTAGGTTCTTGCACTTGCCATACAGGTGCTTAGACTACTGAGCTATCTCTGTAGCCCATATATTCTAATTTAAACATTCGAAAAATAATTAGCACATACCTGCTATGTGTCCATTGGTGGCTGTTTTATTCATTTACCTAGTATTGAGATAGTTTTATAATTAAATCTTAAACTCCCCTTCAATTATTCTTTTCCCAGTGAGTGATGTGTTGCTTCTGAGAAGCAGGGGCATGTAATATTCTGAAGCAGATACCTAAAGCCTTTTGGCCACAGGAAGTGACACTTCTAAGCCATGTGTGTGTGACTGACCAGTCATCACTGACCCTTTACCCTTGGTTGTTGAGGGACTGTGAACCTTCCTGGGTTATCCAAAGATAGTCCTGCAGCACTCTGGCCAAAAGCCACACTTCCACATGCTTATTTATTTTATAGATCTACTAAGCTTTGAAACAGAGTACATTCCTAACCAATAACACACAAATGTTGCATCCCAAAGATTCCTCCACACTAAGATTCCATGAAATGACATGAGACCTAGAAAAAGTTAAAAAAAAGAAATGAGGATAATGACAGCATCTACTTGATAGTGTTATTGTGATGACAAAAACCAGAGGCAATGTGCAAAGCACTTGAAATGGAAATGGCTTAGTAAATGTCAGTCTTTCATGATCTTAGTGCCAGAGCTTCCAGGTCTCTAAAATGAGCAGGATGGGCCAGAGACTTACTAAGCAACCTTCTAACCCTGGTCTTCAGAGTTTCTTTACCACTCTCTTTAAAGATCATTCCTTCTGCAATCTATATCTTGAGTACTAAAGGTCATAGAAATACCCCAACATTCAGTACAGAGATTGGAGGGTGAGAAACAAACTATCTTATAGTTACTGGGTTATCTAGCAACTGACCACCTTATTAATCAACAAGTACTTATTTAGAAATAAACTGATTCACTAAACAGTCTAGCGAGAAGTTTACAAAACAAATCAAAGTAAATAGATCCAATCCAGTATCACTGAAGTTAAAATATATCCTTGTGAAATAATGACATTAAAAAAAAAAACAAAAAACAAACAAACTTCCGTTGGGCATGGTGGTGAACAGTAAGCTAGCACTCTGGGAGGCCGAGGCAAGAGGGTGAGGGTGAAAAGTTTGAGTCCAGCATGGGCAGTTCAGCAAATTAGCCAATTCCTCCCCTCAAAGGGGTGAGAAAGGACTGGAGAGGTATTTTACAGCAAAGGCCTGTGATTCAATCCCTAGTACCCCAAAACAACAAAATGACAAACTTTGAAGCTTCGTGTTACAGAATATTAGAAAATACTTCAAAAATAATACTGGATAAAATGTATAGAAAGATAGCACAATGAAGATAAGAAGTTCAAAAGGAGTTTAAGAGGTAAACTTGCATAATTTAATTGTAAAAACAAAACTCAAATGTTTCCAAAGTTGAGAAACCCTCCAAAGAATGCCTCTGCACATAGCTTAAAAGTATTTGTAACTGTACCATGGGATTCATAATCACAGAATGGAAAATAACTTGCTTCCTAAGATTAATGATGAATAAATTTTAAGTAGTGATATATGTTTAAAAGGAGCCATTTTGTTGACCGTGTAAAAAGGCATATTTCTTCATTCCTAAAATTCTGTTTTTCCTTTTTGTAAGCTGAAATTTATTAATTTTTGCTTTGCAGAAAACAATATATTTTCCCAGCCAAGGAATCCAAATCTACCATGATCCCCTTTGTTCCATTCCAGTCCTGGTGGCTTTGGTGCAAAAGGAAGAAAGTCCATGGGGTGAACTGGTTCTCCTGTGTTTCTCTCCACACCCTTCCTGAAACTCTGTTTCCTCATCCTCCACGAAGGCCTATTTCTTCTGTGATACAAAAAAAAAACAAAACACAAGTTAAAAAAAGAAAAGAAAAAAGAGCAGTGAAATGAAGAAACATATAATAGCTAGACACCTCTTGGTCAATAGCCTCCTAATGTTAGTGTAGGAGCTGAGGGTTAAAATCCACCTTTTTTCTCTCCTTCCAATACTTAGCCTTCAACAATCACAGTAGGCAAGGTCAGAGTCTCTAAGTGACACACATACACACAGGGCCTTGATCACTTCCCAGTCTTCTGAACTCCAACTTTGAGATTTCATGCCAGGAAGAACTGGCAGCCAGTTTATAGAAAGACCCTGGGAGCTGTCCAAGAAGTCTTTATCAAAAAGGGTCAAAAAGAGTGCGGCAAGCTGGAGCCAGCAGGAGGCAACGTGGGGTGTCCTTTGTGGGAATCCCCTTATCTCCTAGGAGCTCCAGTGTCCTGAGAAAAATGTGTGTGCTACTTTGACTGGGTTGCAAATGATGATGAGGTAGATTCCTAAGACATTGTATTTTCATGTTGATGTTTCTTTGCTTGGTCACAGGAGACAATGATCTGGCCCCGCAGCTAGCGGTTCTCTGTGGAAGAGATATTCCTGGGCCCATCCGGTCTACTGGAGAGTACATGTCCATCCACTTCTCCTCTGACTACAGTGTCACCAGGGCAGGCTTCAATGCATCTGTTCACAAGGGTAATATGTTCAGACAAATCTCCTCCTGTTTGGTCCTACCCTGCTCCCCTCCCCTCCCTGTCTTTTCCTCTCCTCTCTTCTTCTCTCTTTTCTTCCTCCCTCATACACTCAGCTCATTTTTCCACACCAGGATGCAGGTCGTAAGCCACAAGGCACAGAGCTCTGCTCTTCTCATTGCCATTCTGTGTCAAGTACTGAGTCCTGAGGCAAAGCACTGTGGCTAAGTTGTACAGAGGTTCTCTCGCCCTCAGTCTCTGAGTGGGGCCCTCCCCTCTGAATGTGCTTGGATGAACAATTTCTGAATTGTTCATCCTATGATGGATGAACAATTTATCCATCCTAGCTGAAGGCTGGAACTAGAAGAGAACGGATGTCCGTAAGACATCAAAGGAACAATAAGTCAGTTATTCTTCAGTACAAGAAGTAACCAGTAAACTCATTATGCAGGATATCTTCACGAATGCCTTGGTGGAAATCACCCATTTGAGAATTGGCAATAACAGTTTCTTGCTCTTGAGATGTGAATTTGATGAGTCAGAAAATGTGCGTAGCACATGGGGTCCACCTCATGGAGCATGTCGGAGCTTTCAAAACTTGACAACGTGTGAGGTCTACTAAGTTTAAATCTAAACTAGATCTAAATATACTGCAGAGTACTGAAAGACTTTCATGTATGAAAATATAATTTTCAGGTAGAGTCTCAATACATTAAAAATAGATCTAATAATTTTTACAGTTGCATATGACTTTTGTAAATTATAGAACAATTGAAGAAAAATTATCTTCTTCTGCCTCAAGGAAAGCAGAACACATAGTGGATTAGAAAATAGGTTTTTGGAATTAGATCTACAATAAATTTTCATCTTTTCAATTTAGCTATGAGTGTGAGCTCTCCCGTCTCACTGGCATAGTCCCTGACAGCTCACAGATTAACGCCAGCTCTCTCCAGCCTCTTTCCTGCATTGCAAGCCTCTCCTGTTACTCTCTAATACGTTTCTATGTACACATGTCAGCTATTTTCACATACAACATACATAATAACACATACATATGTATGTAGTGATAGAACCATTGTGACAAATATGTCCATATGCATGTGCATATATAGGTATCCATGTATGTATATGTTATACAAACATATACACATTCAACAGGTCTATGTCTAGAAAGCATTGCAAATTTCATATGTGAAGACTGAAATCTTGGTTCCTGCCTTCCTACTGTCACACACTTGCCCATTCCATACTCCATGATCTCAGTAAATGGAAAGTACACTCTTCTACTTATTGAAGCTAAATATCTTGACTGTATTCTTGCTCCTTTTCTTTTCCTCAATCCTGTGTCCTAACCATCCAAATCTCAATGGTTCCACCTCATAGTATCTCTAGGTTCTAACCACTTTTCTCCATTTTGCCTGTTTCCATTCTTGTCTGTGCCTCTGTACTTTGCTCTCAGACCAGGCAATCCTCTCCTTACTGGGGCTTCTGCTTCTGCTTTTCTCTGTCTTTGCTCCTGCATGTTCTAAGTACCATGGATTAAACATTTTACAATTTAAGTCAGATGATACCACTCTGATGCTCAAAGGCTCTGTGTCTTCCTCTTCTTACTCTGAATAAGGCCACTGCTTCCTGCAAGAACTAGTCATGCTGCCTTTTGACTCTCCCATCCTGTCTCATCTGTTCTGGCTTTCATAATGTACCTCTTCATATATCAAGCCTTTACTTTGCTTTCTGTGCTCTGATATGCTTTTCCAACAAGCTGATTCCTCATTTCATGGAAGTGGCTGCCTGACGTTACACAAATATATGACCTTCTCTAACCTCACCAGAAAATATAATGCTTTTTTCTTCATAATTCTCTTTTTTTATAGAGGATCTGTCACTATCTGACATTTTATATTTGTTTATTGTATGCTTTCCTCATATCTAAAGTAAGATTAATGAAAGTAATATCTGAAATCATAGCAATAACACCTTGGGTACCCAATAACGGATATTCTTTCAGTGACTATTCTGATAACTAGTTCCTATAGCTTGGTTCAATTTAGTCTCAATCCTCATTATTGCCTGCACTTTGCAAATCCCCAAGGAAAGCATAAAAACTCATAAAAATGTCAATATCATTTCAATAACCCACCCTTCTTTCTTCTTGGGAAGGTTGTGGTGGATACCTCCACGCGGACAGAGGGATCATCGCATCTCCCAAGTACCCACAGACCTACACTCCCAACCTCAACTGCTCCTGGCATGTCCTGGTCCAGCCTGGTTTGACCATCGCTGTCCATTTTGATCAGCCCTTCCAGATTCAAAGCACAGACTGGCTTTGCAACCAGGGGGACTATTTAGTGGTAGGTCTTACTTGCTGCTATTTCTAGTAGTATCTCTGCACTTGACTGAGAAAACAAGTGATGATTTTTTCTCTCTTGGATCTTTTTCACTCTCTATTTCACATGATAAAGAAGTTTACACAATGTTAACATGTCTTTGTAGCTAAAAAATGGACCAGATATCTACTCTCCACCTTTGGGAACCCAAGGAAGAAATGGTCGTTTCTGTGGCAGTCATCCCCCATCCACCCTGTTCACCTCAGATAATGAAATGTTTGTTCAGTTTATTTCTGATTACAGTAATGAAGGGCAAGGATTTAAGATCAGATATGAAGCAAAGAGTTTAGGTAAGTATTTCCGCTGGAAATTATATTTGCACTTTTTCTTAAATTATATGATTTTCTGTGATTAAGTGAATTTGGAAAAAATACATATAAATTTTTCTTTTCCAAACTAAAAGTAATAGCATTAAGAATAGCTCCTGAGCTGGACATAGTGGTGCCTGCCTATAACCTTAGCACTTGGAGGCTAAGGCAGGGGTATTGCCACAAGTTTGAGGCTAACCTGGGATACATGGAGTTTAAGGCTAGCCTGGACTACATAGTGAGACTCTATTTTAAAAAGCAAAGCAAAACAAAACAATTATTATTAAGCATTTACTCTGTAATTGATACATCAAATATCTCAGTGTGGTTACTATTTAAGGAAAGTATTATTTCTGTTTTACAGGTAGTAAAATGAAAGTGTAGACTTTTCCAAGTTGACTTTTTCTAGTAGTGATCAAAGTGAAATTCTTCATGCATATAGACTAAATTGATTTTATTGTGATGCCCACCATTCCTCAGACTTTTCCATCATAAATGTCTAATTGTTTTTAAGCCTAATGAGGGAAACATAGTAAGGCTTATGATTGTCTTATTTTATATACATCTGTGTGCTTCCTTTAAAATGAACTCAAATCTTCTGATTCTATTATTATTCATTTAATTATTCTATATTACAACAGTGTTCTTTATTTAACCACCTTTCCTTAATTATATGTAATCATCATTGTATTTGATTCTACTGTAATTATTGATCTTTGTGGCATTTTCTTTTTAATAAGCTTTAGCTGAATAGATAAATACACATAGATAGGATTACCAAGAGTGGTGTTAGTGGTTAGGCAACAGCAATAATAAATCATTGTTTGCCTTCCCTAGTTAGCTAATATAGATTTAGGTTGATTTTATGACTTTAATCCCAGATTATTGAATATATTTAAAGACACTTGTTAGTTTCAGTGGTACGGCACATTGTATTAATACATTTTACCAAATATGAGAATTTAAAATTATAGCATCATCTCTTCATTTTGGAAAAGGAAGAGAAGTACAAAGCTTCCACACACACACACACACACACACACACACACACACACACACAGAGAGAGAGAGAGAGAGAGAGATATCTACTAGCTTGAAGATGACAAGTAGTGTACTTCTGTCCCCTCCCAGTACATGCAGCTCTGGCACACAGTGGGGGCCTTAGCAGTTGTGCAGACACCAGCATCATTGCTCAACTCTGGGAGCTTCTCTTCCCTCCCCAGCTCCACACAGGCTAGGGGCTGGGGCACTAATGGGCTGGATTTCACTTGGTGCTGAGGCATTGTCAGGGTAATAGTACATTGCATCTAGTGAGTAACATCAATCAGCTCACCTTTTCCATCGCTGGTCATGATAGACTTAGTTAACATTTAGTGCTAATCCAGATACACTAAGGGTTTGTTGACAATGCCGCTTTTCCTGTTCCCTTGTATACCCTCTATATGTGGTTGTGGTCATTACTTTCTCTATACTTTTTTCAAACTTTTGACTGGTATTAATATCACATTTTAAAAATCCTTTGGTTTCAAACCTATCAGTGCACAACGCCAAACATTATGATCACTCGTCTTTCTTCCCGTTTACCAATCCAACCATTTGCCTAACTGTGACTAGCATTTGTCTCCTTGTCTGTACTTTTATGCCTGTTTCTCAGACTTGACCATATGTTCTTACATGAATAATTTTGACATCACATTCATCTGGTTTTGTATCATCTTTCTCAAGAGACATCTTTTCATTATGGTTGACTGAGACTTCTATGATCTTGTGCTAGAAATCTTTTATTTTGAACTGATTAGTTGATTTGTTAATTAATCTATCAATCACACATTCATAATGCCAGGCATGGTGGTGCAGGTCAGTAATGCTAGCCCTCTGGGAGGCTGAGGCAAGAGAATCACAAGTTTGAGCCCAGGATGATCAACTTAGTAACTTAGCAAGCAAGACCATGCTTCAAAATAAAAAATAGAAAAGGACTGGGATGTAGCTCAGTGGGAAAGCCTTAGGTTCAACCCCCAATACTACCAACAATTTTTTTAAATGTATTTGGTACAGGGCCTCACTACACAGTGGAACTTATAGTGATCCTCCTGTTTTCAACCTCCCCAGTGCTGGGATTACAGGCACGTGCCACCACCCCCAGTCTCAGTACCTGGCTCAGCATGCCCAAGGACAGGGATGACAAGGCATGTGGTGCTAGAGATCAAACCCCAGTCCCTGTGCTTGCCTAAACAGGTGCTTAGTCTGCTGAGCTGTCTTACTGGCCCTTACCAACAATTTTTATAAAATACTTCATAGTGTGTAAACTTCAAACTATCTTCTCTGTTGAGGGGTTCAAATCAGTAAGGATACAGATAACCCAATGGAAAATTACATGGTATAATGAGTTCTCTGTGTGGGAATGCATCAGGGTGCATGGAGAACTAGCTTTACATGTAGAAGCATCTATCAAAGAGATCAGAGCAAGCTCCCAAAAGAACCTCTGTTCATCTCTCCCACATGAATAGAGATTTTCCAATCAGTGAAGAAAGTATGTGACAATATGTAAAATCTCATCGTCCCAAGATAAAATAGATTCACCATTTTGAAAGGATTACTGCTATTGGAAAATAGAGTCAAGAGAAGTTAAATACATTGATGAGGTGGGCAGAAATCATCATGTTAAGAGCCATGAATCTCACCCTACAGAAAAAGAGCATTGACCAGAAAGTTATGGGAGACACTGAATAATTTTAACCTCAAACCAATCTGGTGTGACTGACTGAGAGGATCAGTGCAGCTGTATCTCTGAAGATACACTGGGGTGGGAAATACTAAAAAGAGAAAGAGTAATGATGAAAGAGTAATTCAGGAAAAATATTATTATATCCTAAACCAAAGCAATGGCAGAAGGAAGGCAGAAGAGAGGACACATTGAAAGATTCTTAATAGAGAATTGAGTAGATGTGGATGTCACATTACGTGGAAGGGCAGAGAAGGGATGGAGGAAACATAAACACGTGCTAGATTTCTTGTCATTTATCCGCAAACATTTACTCAGCCCTTTCTGTGTGATACACACTGAACTAGGTCCTAGGGATAAAGTACAAACAAACAAAAAATCCATTTTTGTGGAGCTTAATTTTAGGGCTAAAGCATAAATAATGAATAATTAAAATATATATCATAGGGTAAAGATTATTAAGGAGAAAAATAAGGTGGGGAAAATCACCAGCAGGGGAGGCAATATATGTCCAGTGGAAAGGTATGGAAGCTGTTGGAACATGAGCCTGGAGGCCAGGAGAGGAGCCTAGACCAAATCTATAGCTAAGGGAATACTCAACAGCCTGGTTGGGGTTTAAGTCATGAGGATATATGACATTAATCAAGAAATTACTAAGAGTGGGAAGATGAGAAATGTATAGAGAGATTCCCAGGAGTCTCCAACAATGTCAGGAAAGCCCAAGGGCCACAGGAGGAGGACACGAGCTTTGTGCATCATAAGCTAAGAGACACAAAAAGAAAGAAGACATGGTCAACCATGATACATGCTGTGGATTTAAAATAAGGATTGAGCAAAGGTTTTAGGGTGAATAATTGGAGACTACTGGAGGCCTAAAGAAGTGTGCTTGACAGTCTTGGAGAATGTAGGGTGAGTGGTGGGGAGAACAGCAGCACAGGAGAAGAGAAACTTTACAGAAAGACCCCTGAAGAGATAGAATGGTAGGAAACCTGACCCACAGATACCGAGGAATAACATGGAGGGGAGTGGAGGGGGCAGAGATGCAGGTGAGCTTATGTAGCTTAAACTGAATAAGGTGTTACCAGTTGGACAGCTTCTCGTGTGATTTAGCTCCTTTCTCAAGTAGAACTCCCTATAGTGTGCTGAGAAGCAAGAGGGAATGGGGAGAGCAAAAGGTTTAGTAATAAGGTTCACACAACTATTGTACTTCACATGGAGAGTAATGGGCAAATCACCTGGTGGAATTGAGTTTAGAGATCATATACTTTCAGTGGTGCCAGCTTCCTTGAATGATTTGATTGGAAAACAATAACAAAATTGATATTTTTCAAGGGAAACTTGGAGGGTAGACATGGATCTAGATTATATATATGTATTACAAGGTTTACAGGGTCTCACTGCACAGCTCAGACTCAGAGTGATCCTCCTGTTTTCAGCCTCCCAAGCATTGAGATTATAGGCAAGCACCACCATGCCCAGTCTCAATCCTGTCCCAGTGTGCCCTGGGGGCAGGAAAGTCATGGCATACTGGGAATCTAGGTTGTTAAAGGATATTAAAAGCATTTATAACTCAGGATGGCAGAGATGGGGTAATTAATTCTTGGTAATGGAAAAGTTCAGGAGGTGACCCTGAGTGGCTGAGTGACGGTGGAATTAGTGCTTGAACTAATTGCATAGGTTAATTTCTTGGACACTGTCAGCGATTTTACTCTAGCCTCATTTATTCGGTGAAATTGCCAAAGAGTGTTTACAGATGAAACAAAATTATTATTTTATATAATACTTAGGTCTTTTAGAAAAGTATAAAAATCTTCCTTATCTTCTTATAAAAAAGGCTGAAAAATACATTTACATTATCCATCTCTCGCTTCTCAAACTAAATCATAAATGAATATAATAAATAGATATCCACAGAGTTGTACAAATACTCATTTGCTTAGTTTTTATGTGAAGAACACAGCTCTGTCTCACTCCCCTGAAATGAGTAGCCAATGGCGGTTATAGCTGCTAGAGTACTTACAGATGCCTCCAACCAGTGGGTGTGCATTGGTGCCCCTGTGACGCTCTGATACACGTTCTGTGTACCGCACTGTACTGGATTTCAGGAAGAATGAAGTTTTCAGTAAGAATAAGTGGCTTGGCAAATTGAAAAGTGACCCACCTGATGGCTTCCTCAGTAGCAAATTCAGAATTTTTTGCTTAAAAAGAAAATGGAGGTAATTCTAGGTGAAAGAAAAGTGAAGCTGGAAATACCAACTGGTTAACTTTGAAGAAATGATCGTAGCACTTGACTGTGTCCTCCTTTCCCAGACGAGAGATTGACTTAGCTGTGCTTTTTTGGTAGCATGCGGGGGTAACATCTACCTCCACGGAGCTGATGCTGCTGGTTATGTCATCTCCCCCAACTACCCGAACAATTATCCACCGAATGCTGATTGTGTCTGGATTCTATCTGCTCCTCCGGGAAAGAGCATAAAGCTACAGTTTGAAGATCAGTTTGATATTGAAGTATCGCCCAAGTAGGTCACTTCCATTTTGATTTTTCTCTTATCCAAAGTCAGTAAATTTTCTGCCTGTCATGTCGAAGAACAATTTATTTCTTCTTTTAGGGAACCTGGGGACAAAAGGACAAGCTCACTGCCTCCATCCAGCCTGAAAATTTTGCCCAATAGCCACTCACTGTCTCATCAGCTGAGTGGGTTATGCACACTGGTATTATCCCTTGTGACCCTGGACACATCCTCTGAGAGACACGTTGGGTGGTGCCTTAGATTTATGTTATCTGTTCTTCCTCCCACAGGAAAAATATAGTGCCTCTGGAAGATGAGTATTTATTTTCCCAGCCTCATATGCAATGTCTTAGATGATAAAATACATGTTTAACAAATGACAATTTATATGATGTGTTACCAGGGGTCACCAGTGTCAGAAACAGCTCTAAAGCAAGTACAATTTCCCAGTCTCGATTTAATAAGGATCCTTAAAGAATTACAGCCCAGATGATATTTCTTACAATGCTGAGGACAACGGAAAACGCTAATCTTTAAAAACAAAATGGAACAAAAACCTTACATGAGTTTTCTCTTTCATTTAACGGAAATATGACTGCATCTGCATGAACGTATGAGCAATACAAAACCTAGAAATAAGAACTTGGCATTTATTTCTGAGCATGAGATATAATGCTGCTCTTCCTCTCCCTGCACATTAATTGGCTGGCTTGGTGTTCTCAGGAAACATTAGGTGAAGACTCGTCCTCTTTATGGACACAGACAACTCCAGCTGAGACTCCCCATTAGCCCTGGTCCCAGGGCTGCCAAGAAAGCACTATCTTTGTCCTGTGAAATGTATCAAATGATTGTGTGAGAGTACTGGCTTTGTGGAAATCCACAGGGATTAATTTGAAAATGGCTTTTATATTTGTAAAACTAATACAGAACATGGAAGGCCCTGTAGGACCTGTAAAACTCATCTTTTGAGCTACCAGTGCAAGACTGTGTTAGCATTAGAAAATATGCAGCACTTCAAGGTGCCATGAAGCTTCAACTGGCCCTGCCATAGTACCTTATGATACAAAGGGTGACTTAGTAGCACCCTTGAATAAAGTTGGTGAAATCTTCATCATCAAAATAAAAAAAAAATCAGCTTTATGAACATATCTGAGGGCTTTTTGTGTTCTTCTCTCCCCCACTTTAGCTGCACTTCCAGTTACCTTGAGTTGCGGGATGGAGGTGGCTCATGGGCACCAGTACTTTCCAAATTCTGTGGGATGTCATTGCCTGGTAGCCAGCTGTCCTCAGGAGAGCTTGTGTACTTGAGGTTCCGGTCTAACAATTCTACTCGTGCAGGATTCAAGGCCAAGTATTCTATAGGTAACAAGGTTTTAAAATATTAAATATGAGAATTGTGGTATAATAATATATTACAATTTTTAACATATGCATTTTTAAAATAATTCTTCTTATCAGCCTAATTTTGTAGTTTTTAAATTTTCACTTTACCTGCCTAATACTAAGAATTATTTTAATGATAGAAATAAATAAAAGGTGTAACTGTTTAAAGCTATAGTCACTTACCCACTTTAATTTCTTTTTTCCCTTTCATAAACACTATTTTTATTAAAGAGGATTTTATATATTTTCTTGAAATTGTTAAAATATCCTAGCTAAACAAATCCTGTTTCTTCCTCTTATGGAATATGCATTTAACTAAGGCGATAATGCTAGTTCATATTACAAACAACTATATTTATTGCTTGAATAATAGAGTAACAAATTGAACTCATCAATAATAGAGTTGAGCTTTTCTTTCTTCGAGGTCTTCAGTACCAAATCAGTCATCATAGTAAAAGCAAATATATTGCTTCAGTGTTTTGATTTTCTTATTTTAAAAATGAACAGTAAATACAAATATTAAAAATTCCCCTAATATGGGAAATTCAATTTAGTTTCTTATAATCTAGACATAATCTAAACAAATATTTAATTGACTAAAATGTCAGAAAGTCTAGCTATAATAATATTTAACCTATACCATTGGTCATGTTATATCCTGAGTCAATTGTATATAATTCAATTTAGTTATCACATACAGCTAACAAGAGATAATTGGAGGCTAATTTTCCAGACCCTGAGAAGCCTGTCAGTGTAGTACAATGTTTATTTGATTATTAACCTTGACATGACAGGCATCATTGACCCACTTCCAGCTGAGTTTGAACAGTCTTTAAAATCATACACCACTGAGCTTGTGTCAACCTACTAGATGATTCTTGAAATAAATACATCTTGCAACTAATAGTTCTCACATAGTAACCCAAGAGAATTAATGTGACACTATAGAATTTACCATTTAAAACTCATTTTCTCTTTCCTTTTATTGACTGAATTTGTATTATTTTTCTTTTCACCAACAGCATATTGAAAATAATAAAGAAAGCTCTTCCAAACAAGTTCTGAATTGTTAGAACTTCAATTCCTATTCTTGTGACACTCAAAGTTTTCAAATATTCTGATTTACTCTGAGAAAAGTCTGCAGTAGGACGTTGCCCTTCTTGTGTTTTGCAGCCCTGTGTGGAGGAACGGTGTCAGGCCTGAGCGGTGTCATTGAGAGCATTGGCCATCCCATGCTTCCATATCCAAATAATTTATTTTGTCAGTGGCAGCTCCAGGGTCTCCCACAACATTATCTCACCATCCATTTTGAAGACTTTAACCTTCAGAATTCCGCCAACTGTGAAAGAGACTTTGTGGAGATCTGGGAAAACCTTCCCGCTGGTCAGTGAAAAGTATCTGCTCTCTGCTGGGGGTTCTATGGTCGTGTGTACCTGTTCAGCATCTGAAGTTTCTTTATCTCCACGGAAGACAAAAGCATGTCTACTGTCTGTCTAGAAGCTCACAGTCACCAGGTCTGGGCAGTGCCATCAGTTCTCTCCCTGGATACTACAGCTTCTCAAGGGATGCCCCAGCCCCAGGTGTCATGTGTAGCTCTTCAGATCACACTGGAGAACACTGCACTGGTGGGGCATCCACCTTCTGCTGAGACCCCTCAGTGCCACATGCAGTTATTGGGGTCACTCTGATGAACAGGGAGAGGAATGGATGATGCACATCCCCTGGTAATAGGAAGCCCACACTTGTCACTCTTGTTGACTCAGCCAATTCCCTTAACCAATTAAGCAAGTCTTCCTCCTTGTGCTGAGACACTATTCTAATTGGTTGCAGTTTTTAAAACACAGCTTCATATATTTGAATATGTTGACTTTTTCATGGGTTTTGCCTTTTCTTGACAGAGGTTAGCATTTCTTCACAGGTGGGATTTTTGTCTTTTATTATTTTTGCTGTCAATATCTCAAGTAGAGTCAACCACCTGAATAGATTCTTTGATCTTCACAGGACATCTTTTGGGCAGATACTGTGGAAATGCCATTCCTCAAAGTATAGACACCTCTAGCAATACTGCCTCTGTCAGGTTTGTCACGGATGGCTCAATTATTGCCTCAGGGTTCAGGCTTCGGTTTGAATCCAGCCTGGGAGGTAAGTCTGCAAAACCCCATTATTGATCACCTTTGCACTATGGTGGGCAGTGAGGTTACAACAGTTTGGAAAACAAAACATAACCCTGACATCTTGGCTCTTAACATTAGTGGAGAGGGGGGATCTGAATCACCAGTCATACCAATGAGTGAAAACTGCCCACTGTGATAAACACTAAGAGAGAGAGAGAGAGAGAGAGAGAGAGAGAGAGAGAGAGAGAGAG